GAATGGGATGATGAGTGCAAGGGCCTGCTACAGAGAGCCCCAGGGGGCTCATCCACAGTCCCTATTGATAGAGAGTCCTTGAGTCACTGCTGGGGAAAGTCTTTGCAAAATTAGTAGAAAAGTTTAGGTCCTAAAGACAAAGTCCCCTGTAAACAAAGTTAATGTGACCCCCAAACCTTAGTTATAAAAAAAGTCTGTTTAAATTGGCTCTACTCTCAGATTTAATAGAGATAAGATCAAACTGATACTTGGACATAAAAAGAAAATGGATATTGTGGGTGAAGGCAACCACAGTCAGTCCTTGCACAATTGAAAAGTGTAAGCAGCTTCTGCATAACAAAACCATAGCATAATCAGTATCAACAATGAGACAGCCAGACTATTCAGAGCCCAACGTTTTGGTTAATTTATGAATATAAAAATTATGAGTTAAAACTTTAATACTACAAATAATAAAAATATCATCTAACTGCTATTTAAGTACTATTTTAACTACTACTTAGCTATTTACTACTTGTAACTATTTAACTACTATTAACAAAAACTATTTCAAGCACATTATAGTATATACATCTATCCTCCCTATGTCCCCTTGTAAATTTTATAATGCACGTTTTCAAGACAAGAATATTGAATTCTAGAAATTAAAATATTTCCCCAAGGTCACACAGTCAAAACAGAATTGCCAGTTCAACCCAGGTGTTCTGAGTACCAAACCTTGATTCTTAACTGGATAGGGAGCTTTTCAGACTCACTGATTCTTCTCCATAATGATTCTGTGTTTGAGATCTCATTGGCAAAGATTAGATATTTCCTGAGTGTAATAAGGAGCAAAAATGGAAAAGGAAGCGTTCAGATTAGTATAAGTTCAACCTTTGCGTATAAGATACTCAAAGATGGCACTGTAGGTTTCTGACATTCACAACTGTGACAAACTCATGAGTGATCTGGAGGAAGTGTTGTGTAACCCGTGGTAATAGAGCACAGGGGAGGAGCTTTGCACCTGCATACGCACCAGGAAGCTTGCTTTTCCACTCTGGATTTCTGTACCCTGGACGGGGTCTTGAGAGTATGTGGAGACTGGTGTTTAAGTGGTCAAAACAAACCCAAAAAGCAAAATTTGAGCTGCCAGAACAAGAAAAGAGGAAGAATAGCAGTTAGAAGTTAGAAATAATCCTCACGGGACAAAGAGCCTTGGATACAACTAGCAGCAAAAAGACATCAAACCTTAAAGTAGGGCTTGGGGTGTGGCTCAGTGGGAGAACACTAACCTAGCATGTACAATACCTTGGGTTTGATCCCTGTCCCTGCAAAAACAAAACGAAAATCAAACAAAACCTAAACCCTCCTCCTGAGGTTCTTGGGCAGGAAGAAGAGGCTACTGATAAACCCTATTCATTAACTAGGCTAGAAGTGCTCTCTTAGCTTTTTAAGTCAGAAATCTGTATGAGGCTGAGTCTATGAATGAGCACAGAAAGAAATGAGATGGAATGAAGGAAGACTAGGGCTAGAATAAAATCACCTAAGCAATGAGAGGGGAAAACAAGACAAAACAACAACAAAAAGTCAAATAGCAGTGGTATCTCTGACTTAAGTAAATCAAAGTTTAAAAAAAGTAAAGAACTACAGCAAAGCATTCATTTTGTTGAGGATTAAAAAAAATCATTGTATATTTCCATACAGTATTGATCTCATCTTCTGTGGACTGGATATGAAGTTAGACGTAATTCATATCATTCACATGTCAACTGAAGGCAAATTTAGTACATGACCCCCTGAGTATTGCTTAGGAAAGAGTGTGTGAAAATGCGAACCATCTTCAGAAAGTATCCAATGTTATTCCTATAGAATGCCCTAGGCAGCTGATCCTACCACTTTGGTTAGGTAGAGACTGAATCGATCACTAGCAAAGACTGGTGGTTTAAATCTTCAATCCAGAGGGAAAAACAGCAATCAATATATAAGATTACCATGAAGAAGTCCTATTCATGCCAGATGGACAACCTCTGTCTTCTTACCAAACGGTTCTTGCTAAAGTTTCTTTTTTGCAAACCCTCAGCCTGCAGTGGCCTCGCTATTTCCTTACTTAGAGCTGTCCTCTCCCCCAGTCTGGCGCTCTTGATGTAGCCTTTGATAATTCTTGCAAATAAAAATCCAGTCATGTGTGATATTTAGGAGAGAGGAAAGGTTTGATTTGCCTTGGGGACTTAGAACCATTATAAAGATGCCCTTAATGGAAAAAGAAATGCAACAAAAATTAGGGACTCAGCACTTGAGCCAAATCAAAAAGCATACCAAATCACTAGACTGCTTCTTAATTATTTTACATAACATACATAATATACCCCTCTCCCCCACCCCCCCACCAATAATCCAAATTAACCTATCAGTTTCGGCTAGAAGAGAAATCAAGAGGATCAAGGTACAGGCTTAATGCCTTCTCAGCTGCAGCCAAGATGGATTTGGGGCACTGAAGGAACAGACATTTACAGACCAGGCTTCTTGTCACCTCAAGTTACAAAACACACTTCCAAGAAAAATCTGGACCAAGTCGTTAAGTGGCCCATAATAACAATAACCAGCCACATCCTTCCCACAAAATCTAGTCCAATGAGGTACAGTTTGCTGACGTTTCATTTACCTTTCACTTCCAATTCCTAACTCATTACTGTATTCTTTTTTTTTTAATGGTAACTGGAGTCTTTAATTACAAACTTTTCTTTGTCATTTAGAAGGCATCTGCTTTCTCTTCAAACCCCCATCATGAAGTGTGAGCCAAATATCTGTCTCTCCCTGGAAGTTAGGGCTCTGAGCAATTTTTGGCTGAGGACATATTAGAACAGAGAGAGGGTGACCTTCTATGTCACCCCATGTGCCAGTTGTCTGTGTAGTCTTCACAGTGGCTGTGGGGCATCCAAGAAAACGTAACTTAGCCAAAGAAAGAGTCCTGCAAATTTGCAAGACAAGAGAAGCTCAGGGTTTCTTTAGCTAAGCCCAATGTCTATAACCACTCCATGAATGTCACAGGGCCCTTTGTGGTCCTGGTTCAGACAGCATCAAAGGCACTGTGTAAGTTTGCTAGATATTCAGACCCCAGGCTCCTTTCTGAATCTGCAATCCCCAAATGATTCATACCTACATCATATTTAAGGAGGACTTATCCAGAAAAGGATCTCTCAACCTTCACTGGATTTACAAGCTGACCAGAGAACATAAAAATAAATTACTGAAGTCTGGGTCCCACCCCAAGAGATTCCAATTTAATCAGTCAGGGGTGTGGCCTAAGCACTGGGATTTTTTTTAAAGTTCCCCCAAGAGACCTGAGGTGCAGGCAGAGTTGAGAGCCACTGGCTTTGGTCCAGAGAGAGGGCTACTTTTCCCAGGAGCTTCTTTAATGCTGAGGCAGGCTGAGATTCCTAGAGTCCAGGACTGATTTCCAGAGCTGCACTGTAAGTACCAGGGGAGAACTCCACTAGAACTTAAAACTCTCCGACCCCTGCTTTGCAGCTCCCTTTTCTCACTCTGCCCCACATAGCAGCTATTGAAACCCTAACCCCAGTCCCCAGCCTTTGCAAAAACCACAAGAGTCGGTATATATTGCTACTTTAACAATACCAACTTGGGGCTCCACTGGAGACCTACAGGCATGTCTGTTGTGCATGCAGACAGCCTTGGTTGCTGGTGTGAACTCTACAGTAGGTCTAGCCTTTCATCCTGCCAAGTCATTAAGGATTTGTAAGGATGAATGAGCTGTCAAGAGAGCGAGAGCCTGCTGCAATGCTCCTTTATTAATTATGGGGAAGTGATGTATTGGCAATGGCAATGCTTCTCTTGGAAAGGACAATGAATGGTTCGTCGATTGCTGCATTGGGTCTCTTCCTGCCTCGGTCTTAGTGCTGAGTTTTCCTTTACTCCGCTCTAGACTTTTGTTTGTATTTATTTATTCTTTTTAAAGAGGCACCGTTTCCACAGTAATCAGCCGCTGGGTCTTAATTCCCAGGTGAGCTGACACCCCGAGCGCTTAGCTGGGGAATCCCTCCTCGCCCCCGCGGCCCCGCCCATTTCCTCGCGCGTTTGTGCCCGCGTGGAGCAGCAGGGGATACCCCGGCAGGTCCGATGGCGGCGGATGCTTAAACCCCGGCACGAACGCATCCCCCAGATCCCTTTGCTTCCTTCAGGAGAGGAAGGGGACGTGGGGGAAGAAAGATGTGCGAGGGGTAACAAATTCAGAGGTGAGAGACGGGTGGACGGCTGGAGATCGGGGCTGCGTCTACGGATGCAGCCCAGGAAAAGAAGGGAAAGTTGCTGCGCCTGTCTGCCTGTCTGTCTGCGCGAGCAGCGGGTCCAGAGGCTGGGCGCCCCCCGAGGGAGCGTCGGCTGGGGCGGGGGTCATCACGCATCGCGGGTCCCGAGCCCCGTGGAAACCTAAGATGTAGTCTCCGCGGCCCGCTGCAGAGAGCTAAAAGGCTGGTGGAGGTCTCCACCGGCCCGGGGTGCGCGCGCGCGCGCGAGCGAGCGAGGGAAGGGGGGAGCGAGCGATCGTCCGGGGCGCCCTGGGAGGGGCGGGGGTCGGGCCGCGAGGGGGGGGGGGCGCTGAGCGTTAGCTGGCTGCGGCTGCAGCGGGGCTGAGCGCGCGTGAGAGCCAGCGAGGGAGCGGGTGGCGGGGCGGGTGTGCGCGGGAGGGAGGGTAGAGAGAGGGAGGGAGGGCGCGAGCGAGGGAAGCCGGGGAGCGCGCGCGCCGCCTGGCCGCTCGCTCGTCCGTCCGCCCGCCCGCCCGCCCGCCCGTCTGTCCGCACGGCCCGCCGGCCTCCGCGCAGCCTCGCGCCCGCCCGCCGGTCCGCGCGCGGCGCCGCTCCACCGCCCGCCGCTCGCTCCCTCGCTCCGGCTCGCGCGGGCGCCGCTTGCACGAGAGCCGGTGGGCTGCCCCGCCGCCCGCCCGCCCGCTGCCTGCCGCAGCCGCCGCCCGCTTTGTGCTTCGCTCCTCCTCCCCGCCCCGCCGCCCGAGCGATGGGAGCGACCTCTTTCTGATCGCGAGCTGCGGAGACGGAGGGAGGGCGCCGCGATTCTTCCTAGCGTGGAGGACCCGCGGAGAATCCACTCCACTGCCCACCCCAGGTAAGACCCGGGGAGAGCCGAGCACACGGGCACCCATCCCGTACCGTTAACTGATTTTTCTCCTGCCTGTTCCCAAGGCTACAGTTTCCTCCGTGTTGGCAAGACTGGCTTCTAAATTCTGTGTGTGTGTGTGTGTGTGAGTGTGAGTGTGTGTGAGTGTGAGCCTGTGTGTGCGCGCGCGCCTGCACATTTCTTTTTCAATTTTTAATTTTATTTTTCTGGATATCTGCGCTTTCTCTCCCTGCCCCCCTCCCCTACCCCCGAGTAAAATTGCTCAGACTGGTGGTTTGGGGCGGGGGGTGCCCGCCCCGCTCGTACCCAGCCAGCCCGAGGTGGGAGAAAGGGCTCCCAGAGGAGGGATGCTGCGCCCTGCCCCGCGCTGGGCTGGGGGTGGGGGGGGATCTGGGGTGTGAGGGATTGAAGTCCACTCAGGAAACAGTGCTGCGGGATCCAGACGCTCCCCCTCCCCGACCCCCCACCACTCCACTAGACGCCCCCCCTCCTCCCCCGCCCCGCGGTCAGCCCTCCCGCCGGCCTGGTCAATCCCTGGGGTCCTCCCCGAGGCCACACACTTGGCCAGCCACCTCTGCTGCTGCTGGCGGGCTCTGGGTGCTCTTCTTCTACCCCACCCCGGAATGCGGGGAGGAAGGAGGTGTGGCCCCGGGCAGAAGGGGACAGGACAAGGAGGAAATGTGAGCTGGGGAGGGGGCGGTGAGGGTTCCCAGTCCTGGGGCGTTCTGTGCCCCGATGGGAGTTGGGGTTTCTGCACACACAAGCTTCTCTTCCCCTAGAGATTTCCAAGGGAACTTTGCAGCTCCATTATCTCTCTGTCTCGGGGCTGTGCTGGGGCTTGGGGAAATGGTCAACGTATAACATAGAATGATGTGAGGATTTCCTTCTTGGCTCTACCTTCATGAAAAAGAGAGACGACTCTTTTTTTTTAAAAAAATTATTTAATAGCTGGACAATCAACTAGTGAAACCAAATCCATCTAAAGGATGCTTTATAAAATACGGCATCCTTGCACCCCCCCCCCCCCCTCCAAGCTGTCTCTGTTTGATGAATGACTTGGCTAGCAATTTGTATTTCCCTCCCCAGATAAAGTGGCAGCGGCTGGGTTTAAAAGCAGGGGTGATCAAATTTAACTATATGTATATTCGGTATATGTATGTATATGTATATATATATATAAGTTTTTTGTGTCTGAAGAGAGCAATGTGCATATTATCTGCTGGCACTGGAAAGAAAGTCATGTGCACTAGGCATGGCTTTAACCCCTTCTTTGCCTGGCTCTGGTGAAGGCACCTCTCTGCTAGTCAGCCACTAAACTAGTGGCTGTGAATATAACAACACAAACTTTATCCTGCTGGAGGTGTAAAGACTAAAAAGAGAAAAAAGGATATCAGTGGGAGGTGTAGTGGAAGAAGCTTTTTAAAAAATGACAGATGTGGTGAAGACAGTACAGGCATCCTGATCATGGAGGAGCTGACAGAGTCTGTGGAGATTGCTGATCAGATCTGGTTCAAGGCATGGCTTGAGTGTCTCCAAACAGGAGCAGTTGAACATCCACAATCCAGGACCTGTGCGAGGATTTCCCAAAGGAAATGGGGACAAAGGCAATCAAGAGAGAATTCTGAAAGTATGTCCCCCCGGCCCCCACCCCCCACCCCAACACAGACACACAGACACAGACACATACACACACAAACACATACACACACATACCCCACAAGCTTCTCTGTCCCTCTGGGCTCTCCTGCAGCAAGTCAGGAAAGGAGGGAAGAAAATGGAGCTAGATGTTTCATTCATTTTAGTTAAAATGAACACAAAGCCAGGAGAGGGATGGATTGTACAAATCCCGTGTCACTTGGATTTAGCTCTCTGCCTTTGCTAAACTTGCTTAATTGGGAGGTTAGCCGGGTGTGAAGGCAATAAGAAGGAAGGACAGCTTTCTCCATCTTTGGTCTTTGTGAAAGAGCTAGTGGCAGAGACCCACTTATTTCACCAAGACACAAAATGTGTTTTCTCAAATCCTTTTCCTTTTACAAATACACCCTGCTTGAAGAGATAGATCTATTTGGGTCTAAGAGGTCTTTGGGTACAATTTCTCCAACTGATTGTCAGAGAAGCCTGCTTTTCTCTCCCTCCCTTTAAGATGGCTGTTATGTATTATTAAAAATGGAATGATAAATTCCTGGAAAAAATGGAAGGAGATAAAGGAGGGGGGTCTGTGTAGAAGTAAACCATTATTCACGACTGAACTGTGCAAGGGTCAAAAAGAATTGTTCCTGATAGCCAGACTTCACGCTATGCCTGATAGCTTAACGGGGCTAAGAGAGGCTAGTAATGAGCTAAAAATATAAAGGTGTGCCTTATATCGATTTACCTACCCATCTACCTGTCGAGACACTTTGTTACTAAATAATAGTTTCTACTACATCATTTTGGATTTAGATTCACGAGGAGATAACCCTTTGTTGACCATGTAGGAGGAAGGAAAGTGCTTTTAGTCCACATAAAATTATAGCAGGAAGATGAAGTATAGTCCACAATGCATACAATGCTAATTTACAGGACTTAACATTAATTGCTCTCCTAAGCTTCCTATGTTTTGAAAAAAAGAAAATGTATTCCCAGAGAGCTATGGCAGTTGTGAACAAGCTATATTTAACATGTTTTTTTATCAGACAAAAATAGACTTTTATTTATCTTGCAAAGTAAACGCATGGTTCCTTCCCTTTTAGTGCTTAATCTATTTCTTTGACAAAATAAATCATGAGAAAAACTGCAGATCTCATGAAGTTGCATTCCTCTTTTGAGAAGCACGTTCATGGTAGTGGTGGGGAGGGGGTGTGGAGGGAGAAGCCAACATCAACAGAAAACATTCCCTTTGCTTGTGGATGTTCCCGTCACACATTAGGACTTTTAATACCTGTTTCTTATGTGTGTGTTCATTGTGACCAGTCCTTTCTCCGCACTACCTCAGGTAGAGGGAGAACAGTATGTTGGTAAGAAACAGGCCACCGGAACAGCGTGAAATGAAATAAGATCCAAATTGAAATCGAAATTGAATACGAGAAAAGAAATTCACAGTGCAAAGAGGGTATTAGAGCACCTGGGATGCATGATTTGTATTTCTTACAGTGTGTGTGTATGCTGCTTTCAAATAAAAATTAAGTTATTGTTCTACAGTTGTTAAAAAATACATATTTAGGAATCAGTGTGCTGTTGCCTGTCTTCTATCTGTGTCTTGCAGCAGTTTTATTTAACTTTTTTTTTTGGCCTTGAAGTGATCTATCTATGTATCTATCTATCTGTCTATCTATCTATCTATCTATATTTTGCCAAGCCATCCATATCATCCACACTTTATAGCAACACCTTCTTTACAACTGTCCTAGACTTCATGGTTAGAAACCCGCCTCCCTCCCCTCCCCTTATAACCTGGCCCCAAATAGGCTCCCATCTGACCAAATTCTGCTGCTCCCTCTTGTGGCAAATATGCTCCCTGACTTTCTCTAGATCCCAGAATCCTACATAGATAACTCCCTTAGCTGTCTATCATTTCAGCTCTAATTCTCAGTAGGAATTGTGGCTAACCAGGCCAGTGGGTTGCTGAACTAGCTGTTTCTACTTTTCTCTCTGAACAAAGGGATTTTCTCTTCCCTGGAGACATATCTGAGATTTAATGGAAGTAAATGTCAGGTGTTTTCTGACCCATTGGGGTGGACTAGATTCTGAAAATATGAGCTTTCAGAGTTTGCCTTTGAGATTTTGACTTGAACTCAGGGCTTAATATAGAGGGGCCTCATTAAATATAGTGGGGTTATTTTCAATCTCTCTGTCTTTCTGCACCTGTCCTTCCTTGCCTTTCATGTATACAAACATATCACGAAATACATTTTACATAGTGTGTACTTTGAAGACTTAAACTCATCCATGAGTAGGTTCTCTATACAACTTGTGAATTGAACAGCCATTTTCTGGCTTGGAAACTCCAAGAGTCAATGGTCCTGTGCACTTCCACCAGGAGGAGTTCAGGATTCAGGCAGGGAGATCTGGTGTCATCTTCCAGAGTGAATCAAGTTGGCAAGATAGTTGAAGGAAGTCCTTGATGCCCCAAGTGTTACTTGTAGACTCTCTTTTTCTTTGTCCTTTGAAAATTTCCTAAGCAAAAAAGGTAAAATTGACACAGGTTTTAAAGAGAATTACATTTTGACATTACATGAAACTTCCTAGCCAATCTCGCAAGAAGGGTAACATAAACAAGGAGAAAATGTAGGCCAGCCGAGGATCTGAAATTCACACTATTAAAATCATTCACTTGAATAAAGGAATCTTATCTAGTGGATCCCTATTAAAATCCAACAGTATTACTCCAGAAAGAGCTACAGTAAATTCTCAAAAGCTATTATTTGCCTATGCTCATTTTTTAACTTAGTCTGATTTAGGTAATTGGCTGGTAGAAGGTCCTGGAAGCTAGAACACAGAAAGATACGGAAGAAATGAAGGAGGCTTAAAACTAGGTTGGTGCCCAGTAAGTGACCCAGAGGACTCCTCTGGTTGGGGAGTGTGATGGAGCAGAGTATCTGGGAAGAGAGCTGTTCATGGGAGGGGTAGAGGATAGCTAGAGAGAAGCAGCAGAATTTTCCTTAGTTGTAAAAATTGAGTCATTTCTTGAACGTTTAGTTGTTTCTGTTCTTTGGAGAAATGGGCAAAATGTTTTCCTGCAAGTGAATTGATATTCTTAAAAATCTTAATGGGTTCTATTGTGCCATTGCATAATATTCACTGATAACCTAGAATGTGACAAAAGGCCTCTAGAAAACTAAATGTAAATATGAGTCCAAATTAATTTTTTAAAAAAAGACAGACAGAAAGAGTATCACTCTGCAGATGTCCATGCATTTGAAGCCAGAGTGGTGTCTTGGTTAATTCCACTGTGAGATGAAATCAGACAGCAAGATAGTAATTCAGTAATTCACATCAATTCAACTAAG